AATTTGATTTGGAAATTATATTCTCCCTTCTTTCCTACTTGTTTTCATTTCCTTTAAGATTCACACTTGGTTTGATAGTCCACAGAGAGAAAGAGTTTTAGAATTATGACCAAGATTGTACTGTGAAGGATGGATCAGAAACATGAATGCTACAAAAGTAGACTTTTTACAAAGACCTCATCTGAATATAAAGATGGTTTCTCCTCCACATGGAAAAAAGATCCTTGAAATTCATATACATATTTGAATGAATCTAAATAGACCCTAATAGGAAAGCTAATCAATCAATCAAAAAGCATTTGTTAAGTGCTTATCATGTGATAAGCATGATACTAAGTTTTGGGGATGCAAAGAAAAAGCAAAACCAATTTCAGCTGTCATGGAATTTACATTCTAATCAAACAAAAAGTTCCTGCCCAGTCTGATACTGTACCCCAAGGTATTCAATAAATAATCATTGAATTGCTGAATATTAAATATTGATTTTAATAAAATAAAATAAATTAAATAAATTAAATTAAATAAATGACTTTAATAAAATTAAAAAGTAAAAGAAAAAGATGTTTTGACCCATTAGTGCTTAGGTAAATATAATCCCTTCCCATTTTGTTCCCTAAATTATTTAGTGATCCTTTCATGTTAAAATAGTATTTAACAATAGGAGGCAAATATAACACACATAGAAAGCAGCAGATCCTCAGTGATAAAGTCACTTTTAGGTTAAACTAGGCAGTAAGACAGACGCTAGCTCCTTCAGCTCACTCTGGTACCTGTTACTCTTAATTATCTAGGAGTGGGATTCTGCACCCACCCCCATTAATCACAGAAGGCCCAAACTCCTGGATTCAATTGACTTAAACAAAAATCAGCTATATATAGAAAAATCTTTAACCAATTTGAAATTATTGAGCTTTGCCGAGAGAAAATCTAATAAACCCCATGTGAAACACCTTGTGATTAAGAAAATCATGCATGGTCCCATTCTATGTAGATAGGGAATGCTTTTATTTATTAATATTTGTCAGAGTAACAAAAATCAAAATTTAAAATACTTAGGTGTTCTATAAATGCATCATTATTAATAATATCAATAATGATAATGTTAATCATAATAATGACACTTTGGTGAATACAGGACAGTTGGTTTGGTTTGAAAGGAAGATGATTAATGTGAATTTGGCCACATTGAGTTTGAAGTGACAGAGTAATGGACAGAAATGGAAACTTCTAGTGTTCAGTCCTAAATTCAGTAATGGACAGGAAGGACCTAGAAAGGACAGGCCTAGAGATACGGAGTGTCCAGTCATCAGTGTAGAGGCAGTATTTTAACTCATGTTGAAAGAGAAACTGACCAAGAGAATGAGTTATAGTGAGAAAGTCAGGGGCTAATAACTGAGTCATAGGAAGTACCCACAGTTTGAGAGTAGGAGCAGGAGCAGGTAAAAGAGTCATCAGAAGTAAGCAATGTTTGGCTGGAGAGAAAGGAAAACCAGGACAATATGTTACCATGAAGACAAGATGAAGAATGAGACAGACATTGTTGGACATGGCCAATGTGAAAATTTATTTTGCTTGACTATATATACATTTGTTACAAAGGTTTTTTTTTTAACTTGTTTTTTTCCAATAGTGAGGACTTGGGAGGTAAAGAACATAATTGTTTATTAATAGAAAAATGATAAAATTTAAAAAAAGAAACATGGGTTACTTATCAATGTTAAATATGAGGGGTCAAAGAGAATAAAGATAGAAGGTAAGGACCTTGGATTTGGCAATAAGTAAGTCATTGGTGGCAATGGCTGACGGATTCTTTTCAAAGGTAGTGGTAAGAAGAATTGGGTTTCAGTTTCAAGAATGAGGAAATTGGTAGTCAGGAAATGAACACACTTATGTGCCATTATGTCAATGTATACTATTGTTTGGGTATAGTGATCCTTAATGTACAAGCTTTACATTAAGTCCTTTAACCAAGGTATAAGTTTCAAATCCATTCAAGTACACTCAAACACAAACTCAACTTGCATCAGTGATGGTAGTTCTGTGTTCAAATCTAGTAAGCCACAGTGCAGTACTACTATACATACTGATAAAATAAATTACAACAGATGATTAAAAGAGTTAAGAGTCTCACACAGATAGCCTGTGGTACACATTTCAAACAAAAATTTTAATTTGAGATTACTTTTTTTTATCTTGCTGGCTCAGTTTAAAAAAAAAAAAGTTCCTATTTCGACCAACCCATCTCTCATTGTGCATGAACATTTATGATTATTTTGGTGCCTGGTTATCAGAAGTAATACAGAGAAGGGCACAAAAGAGAAAAAATCATATGGAACTAGTTTTGGCATATTATGGGAATGGACTGAAAATGGCAACCATCAGACCAGTGGAAAGTTGGGTATAATGTATTGCTTTTTCTCTTTTTCTTTTTTTTTCTTCTTAGTGAGGCAATTGGGGTTAAGTGACTTGCCCATAGTCACACAGCTAATTAGTGTCATGTGTCTGAGTCCGCATTTGAACTCAGGTCCTCCTGACTCCAAGGCCGCAGCTCTGTCTACTGTGCCACCTAGCTGCCCCTTGCTTTCTCTTTTTCATTATAAACACACTACATTACTGTATTACTTGGGATTACCTTTCTGTTACTTGTTTTCTAGGATTAAAATGAGATTATTTGTGACCTCTTCTACTGTGACACTTTTGGGGGAGGGAACACTTCGAAGTACTTAAGTTGTTGAACATAAGAAAGAGCATTGCACAGCAGAAAGGAAGCTGGATTTGAAACTGGAGGAACAGGGTTCATATCATGATGCTGCCACTTGTGATCTTGGGAAACTCATTTTACCACTCTGGGTCTCTGTTTCCGTATCTGTAAAATGAAGGCAGTGGACTAGATGAACTCCATGGTCCCTTCTGATTCTAAATCTATAGAAAATACTCTTAAAGTAATAGGAGTCTTAGAATTAATTGGTAAGTGATCTTAGCCACTTTGGCTGAGTCATATTAAAGAACCAAGCTACAGACTAGACATATTGGTGTAATCAACATCTGAACTTCCTGTTTGCACAATTTCAGGGTAAGTGGGAATTTGAGGCCATTAAAGGAAGGGCAAACTGACTATACACACTGTTGCCTATTTGAACTTCATAATGTTAATTAAAATATTTTATGAGCTGTCTCCATTAGAACATTTGTACAAGTCTTTAATCTTGAAATTGAAGTCCATAAATATGAAATAGAGAAACTAAATTTGATATCTTGCCATCATCCAAATTATAGGATACCTCTCACAGCAACATTGTCAAAGAGCTATATATTTCACACCTTAGAATTTGGATCGTAGAGAACTGAAAGTCCAATTACCCTACGGAGGATGCAGCCTAAATTATATTTCAAGAGAAAAAAAACTCTCTAGTATTTTTTTTTATGTTGCCTTCTGCTAGCAGATTCAATCTTGCCTGCAGAGGAAGGCTGTCTGGAGCTTTTGAAACTACTGGTATTTCTTGGACGCTTAGGGACTTTCTCCATAAATATGATCTATAAGTGACAGAAGGAACTGTGCAGAAGAAATGTCTAGAAGAAATGAGGTGTGGGGGAGCTGATGAACAAACAAGTCCTTTGCTCCTTGGCTTTGCTCATTAATCTGCATCTGTAAAAGAAATCATAACTATGGAACACAGGAATCTTTCTTCCACAAAAGTGGTGGTTTTAGCAGAGTTCCACTATCTGAGGTTACATCATATAGCTTCTCACTGTGTGAGGTTACTTATTCTCCGTGCCTCAGCTTCTTCTTCTTCTTTAAGTGGGGATAACGCCTTGAGTTGCACCAACTGCATAGGGGCATCGTAAGGCTCAAATGAGATGATACATGTACAATACTTCACAAACCATAAAGTGTTATATAAATCTAAGCTATTTTTATTATGGGGTGATACTAAAGACTTCACCAGGTTGCTTTGAGGAAAGTACTTTGCAAACCTTAAAGTGCTATATAATTGTGAATTATATATTATATAATATATAATTATATATCTTCATGTATAATTATATACTATAATTATAATTCATTTCATGCACTCTGCTCTCTTTGTTAGATGTTCCCTCTCAGAAGCATTTGATGGGAATCAGAAGTTTAGAGGTGGAAGTAACCTCAAAGGTTTCCTAGTCAAACTCCCTCATTTTACAAGGGAGGAAATTGAGACCCAAGGAGACTAAGGTTTGCTGGAGATCACATAGGTAGCAAGCATCAGCAGTGGGATTTGAATCCAGGTACTTTGACTCCAGAGCCAGTACTCTTTCTACTGTATCACAAACATATGTGCCTCAGCCCATTCCTACACAAAATCCGAGGACAGAAAACAGATCTTAATCCTACACTATCAAACAGAACCCGAACACTGTGAGGGTGAAGGAGACCTGAAAGAATCCTCTGCTAGGAGAATATCTCTCAGCTAATAAATGGGGTTATCATAGGGTCTTGCCACTTTGTGTCCAAATAACGCTTCACCATTTATGCCAGCCATGGTGAATTACCAGGAGAATGAAGACCTTATTACATTTGCTTTGGAGAGCCAGGAGCTCCTCAAAAGGCAACTGACAGTGGCAGAAGCTTCCCCAACAGGTGAGATGCCAAAACCAGCGCACAGATGTGACAGTTAATTTTGTTTGCTTTATTCTGTTCTGAGCAGATCAAGTTTTAATAAGATATTTGTCTTTTGTTGTGATAAAGCAGACTCCTGGACCCATGAAGAACATGTCCAAACTAAGCCATCTTACATTCTTTGCTTAAACGTGGACGTGCAAAGAATATGTACACACTTGATACAGGGGGAAGAAAGGAGTAAAAGTCTCTTAATATATACCACATGTGTGGAAATGTGTTCCAGAAACTATTTTTAAACTTATGAATAAAACGTAAGGGGGTTTTTAAGATGAGACTTAAAGTTAGGCTTTGCAAGTAAGGTGTTAGTACTGGATTGGTACATATGATCCGACTTTCTTACCTTTAGGGAATCAAAGCAAGCAATTACACGGCCATTTTCAACCTGGCAACTTTTGGGGGGGTGCGCAAATTTGCATTCTTCATCAGAGCGTGAACAAGTTCCTCTCTGAAACTGTCTGCATACTTCCAGTGTCAGCCATTTTGTGTCTCTCACAGGAGCAACGTTCAAAGCCATGATGAAAAAGAGATTTAGGTTCTGGGTGTTGCTATTAAGTGAATTATGTCAGTCAGGTATCCACCAACTTCAAAAAGTAAAACAAAACAAAACTACTGTTGAGAAACCAACCACCATCCAGCTCTTAGAAGAGCTAACAAGTTGATTAATGGAGTCCAATACGCACAAAGCAGAAGAAGAACAGACAATTTATCAGCAAGCAGTCACTCATCAATCAATATGTCCCACTTGAAGAAGGTGGGCTGCAGTGAAAACATACTCGGTGTCATCTCTGGCTGTAAAATGTCTAAGTCTCTTGTCTGTTTTTGACACCGTTTCTTATAGAGTGACTCCAAGGCAATCACACTCCTCGAGAGAATGTTAGTTCTTCCAATGCTGCTTTCTTGTATTGGTGACACTGGAAAACAACCTTGTCAGTTGTTCACGTTCTAGCAGTTTTGTTTTTTCCTTTCACCTTTTTAATGTTGAAGTTGAAAAAGTGGCGATTTCAGACAGTCACACATGAGGTCAGGACAAGGTGTTCAGAGTAGGCAGAGACCAAGTTCTGCAAACACAGAGGTGTGTAGAATAGTCGTTTCTGGTAAAAGTGACTTCACAAAGGCACTTTTTAATCATGAACCTGATAAAATATAAATCAAATGTCAGTTTTCATCCAACCTTACTGGAAGCAACACTTCTAAAATCATTTCCTCCTTAAACTGGAATATTCTCAATTCTAGATGAAGGCAGTAAAACAGTATAGGGAAAACGCCTCATTTCATAAATTTTTGCATGAAAAAAGGGGATAAGGAATTGAAACACGTATTGCAGAAACAATCCAGGCAGCAGTCCAAAAGCAAGGAATGACTCAACCAGATGAATGTAGTAGACACAATAATTAGGCATTCTGATTCTGAAACAATTCAATCTAATGTGTTTAATCGCCAAAACAATGTATTAGATCCACAGTTTCCAATTAATTTCACATTTAGGCCCACAGATTGCATTATTTGCATTATTTGAGAAGCTATAAACAATTATTTGTGATCTGTACCTCTTGTATAAGGAAGATGTTATCATTTTGGATGAAATTCTTCCATCGCCCCCACCATTTAGAAAAAAAAAATGTGCTAGTTGCCCTTATAGTAATTCATCAGTGATTTATTTTTTACTTAAGCATCTTATAAAAATACCCCATTGGATATAACAATGTTGACACTATATTACATATAAATAATAAAATAATGTTGCCTTTTTAATTTTTAAAAATATTATATATCTATTAAACCATTTTGGACATTAGACCAATAGTATTAAGAGAAGAAAAATCTATCTACATGAGGGTAAATAAAATTCATAAATAAGGACCAAAAATGAATCATGGTTATAAATGATAGATGATAGAGACTGCCATAGAAGTCTTAAATATTTATTAAAAATATTTCATAAAATTCTATTCTATAATTAAATCACTCTCCTAGGCAATTTTCTTAGAGCCATGGATCATTTCATAACAAAAACAGAGGCAGAGAAGTAACGAAACCCAAACTTGCTAATTAAAATGCTTGATGATTTGTAAAACATTCCTTTTTCCTGTATCATGATAAAAATTCATTTTAAAATATTTACTGAATGGAATCATTAGGAGCTTTTGAGATTTCAATGAATCCCACTTTTAGTTCCGCAAATGTTTAAAGCACAGGTTTCCTCTTGAGGAAGCGGGAGAGACCAAACCAACCTAAGTTTCTGCATTTACTTTAGGATATTTCTTACCTCTTCTAATCAATTCTCAATTCCTTATTTATAATTAAAAACAATAGGTTTTAGCATAAAGAAGAAAAAAAATAAAATTATTGCCACTGAATTAAAATGTAGGTTAAATGCAATTAAATAAACAACTTTTCTCATAAAATTAGCTGCATAAATATAAAAATATTTAGATGCATCCTCATCCTCTAAAGTGCATTAAAGTAACTTAATCCAGTGAATGGGACATACCCTTGTTTTTACCTTCAAGGAGAATTAATTTCTACGATTAAGTTTTACTCTATTTCTATATATTTCATTTTCTATCAAAATTTAAACAGAAATTGACTTCCCAATAGTGATGTAACTTTATCAAGCTGGGAGATAAATGGATTTACTCTAAGCAAAAAGACTGCCTAACTTTCTAGTAATCAGTCACATGTAATAAGTCAAGATCTATTAAGATCTGCAAGTTAGACTCACTTTTGACAGGATTGTAATTGTCTCTCCCCAAACCAATCTCATCTCTACCTAGTCCACATTCCCTACTGCTAAAATTTCTAAGGCTGCTACTATGAAAATCACTGCCTTGATAATGCCACCAGTTTTAAACTTCTTCAGTCAGCAGCATCTAGCAGCTGGAAAATGCAGGAAGAAAGACAGGACTGGGCCAATCAAGGGTTCCTTGCACTACCTTTAGTAAGGAGCATTGACTTCTCACTTAGTCATGGCATAAGTAAGAGAAAGACCAATAAGGAGCTACGGCACTGTGAAGTCTTTATCCGTGCTTTTTTCTATATTTCTTAGCCTCTATTAACTTTGAAATGGACTCAACAGCTTTGTGGCTCTAGAATCAACATCTAGAATGATCAGCAGTCAACAAAAGATCTATATTTCATCATGGACTCTTCCGTGCTAACCTTAGTGTTGACTTTGGAAATCTAGGGCTTCCTGGTTATCTGACAGTCCACTTTTCCGCTATCTCTGCCACAACTTGCCTTTTGCTTTTGTCTTCCTCATCCTGTGGCTCCATCAGTTTTCTTCCCCTGATTCTCTGATTACCTTTCCTCTCACTAATGGTTCTCTTCCTTCTTGGCGAACACTTTGCCTCTTGGCTCACTGGTCTCAAAATGTCTTCCTCTTTGTCAAAACTACCTCTTTTGAAAGGAGATTAAACTCATTCACATAAATTTGACAAAAGAACTAGTGACAATGTCAAGGGTTGCCCCTTAAAACAGGTATTTTGTATTTACAGGGATCAAGGTCTTTGACCATAGCAACGAAAAACCGGGGGAAATGTACCATGTCAGGGTTGTTTGCATGTTCATAGGGAAGTGTTCCATCAAAAAAATCTATACATATGTTTTGTATAAGCTAAAGAAGAGGCATTAGGCATGTATTTTTAGTCTTTAGTCAGTAGGAAGGTATTTAGTTTCAGGGACCAGGCAAGGAAAGAAAGCAAGGCATTCCAAAAAACCCTAAAATCACTCTAGCCAGCATAGATGACTATTTACTCTGGATGTGTATGACTAGTCCTGTTTGTTGCTCTAGAGGAAAATGGTTGTAATGCTCACTGCCCTGGGCCCTGAAACCCTGAATTATGTCCATGAGCATCACAAAGAGTAGGATCAATCAAATACCAGAGAGGAACTGGAAACTGTTTCAACAATCCATGGGGAAAACTGATTTGAGGGCAACACTGGCAAGAAACAGGAGCAGATGCAGCCTTAGTGGGACTTTCCAGGAATATTAGGAAACTAGAATTTCTCCCCCTGTATCTTTATGAAAATATTGGTTATCAATTACTGTGCAACTGTATGCCTCGCCAACATCAAACCAGTTGATTAGAGTATCCGCCTCCTAAGTCAAGGTGGGCCTCATAAATAGATGCAGGGGTTGTCTCAGTCATAGTGTGTGATTGCATCCTTCCTAGCACATCACTGTGGTCTGTCTCCATTGATTTCACAGAGGCCGCTGGACTCACTGGTTGAAAGGGTGGAAAAGACCAACTACAATTTCATTCATCCTTCCTTGACGGTACTGTTCAACTCTCAGTTTTACACAGCAGGGAAGATGGCAGAGTTAGGGATAATCCTAAATGGTAGATAATGCAGAAATTACCTTTGATTTTGAGAACGTACTTTAGTTTTTTTTATATTGCAGTCATGTGTATCTGTTGTCCTAGAAATTCATTTTAAGAAGATGTATCTACACTATGAAGGGCTAACAACAACTCAAATTATATATATATATATATATATATATATATATGTATAGTTTATCCATTACAACTCCCAAACAATCACTCCCTTGCAACCTGCTCCATCATGACAAGAGACCAATCTCTCTTAGTTATCTCTTAGCACCAACCTAACTAGAACTGTGCTTTCAGATCTTTCTTAGAGCAGGGATATAGTTAATTATTTTTCTAAGGGCTTCTCTCTTAAAAAAGAAAGTAAGGGTAAAGTAATAATGATTAGTTATCAATTAATCAATAAGGACTTATTAAGTACCAGCTATGGATCAGGAGCTATTCTAGGTGCCAGGGAAGTGCTTGTGTTCTACTAAGGTAAACAACATTACATAAATAGATGTATACAAAGATATATAGGGTGTACCAAAAGTCTTAGTGCAGTTTTTAGCTCGAATAGCTTAAAACTGCACTAAGACTTTTGGGATACCATATATATACATATGTATACATGTATGTACATATATAGGGACACTATTACACATACATGTATATGTATACAAAAACTACAAGGCCATTTTGGAATGCAGAGCACTGGATGCTGAGGGATTAGGAAAAAAAAAAGAAAAACACTTTACACAGAAGTTGGTGTTTGAGCTTAAACCAGGGACTAGTTATGCAGTAATTAGGTAGACTAGATGCTTCTAGTGGAAGAGGATAGGTACTATCAGAAATCTGAAAAACAAAGTTATTTCCCCTTGGACAAAGCTTTACAGCATATTGATGAAAACCACAATTACGTACCTGAGACCCAGGACCCAGCCTCCAAAGAAAAGCATTTGAGAATGACCGGCCTTGGTAAACCTTGTTATTGTATCTCACTCCTTGATAGGTACTTGATTTATTGACAGGGGAGCCCTCTGTGGTTATATTTCTGCCAATATCCCTGTAACGGCCCCATCCTTTCCAGACAACATTTGATACAACAAGCTTTGCTGTTCTTTTCTCAGTTTCTCTTTCAAAGTCACGACTGGAATTTGAGGCTAATGGAATGAGCTACTCCACTTATTTCTGAAATGCTGATGGACTTGCTGTTCAACTGTACAAAAGAATACCAAGTTGTTTTTAAAGCCTTTCACAGAGACTTCACTTCATTGCTTATATTTAAAAGTCATTCCCAAGTGCTAAATTTTCAGATAGCTATGCCTTTTTTTAAACTATTCCAAAGAATATATTACTTGATTTTCTCTCCCAGCTTCAGATTACTCTAGCCCAAGGAGAATTTTACATTTTGGACCACTAAAATCTGAGGAGATGTAGGCCAGTGAGGCACTTTTGAAATTGTCTTCTCCATTCCCTACGACCCCTAATCTGATCCATCCCTTACTCCTTTTTTGGGGGGATGGGGGAGTTCCAAGCATTCAAAGGGCAGTTTATGATTTGCAATTAACACACATTTTTTTTCAGAAACAATGATTAGAATGTCAAACTTGAAAATTTAAGACCATATTTCAGAGAAATAACTCCCTGGTACTCTAGCCTTCTTAGTTTGCTTTTTGCTCACTATGGCATATTTTAGTTGACTGCCAAACATCTGGATAGAAGAGGATCGATTAAAGGATGGTAGCAAAACAAATTCGTTTCTGAGCCAGACAGTTCTTGAAATTTTTTCCATTAGGAGTATCTGTAGGATACCTTTAATC